TTCCTTTCTTCCTTTCTACCTTTCTTCCTTTCTTCCTTTCTTCCTTTCTTCCTTTCTTCCTTTCTTCCTTTCTTCCTTTCAAAAATGCAATAAACTGGAAATGTTGCAGGGTTATTGCTAAAGCTGTGGGCACATGATCTTTTGAAAATCTCCACCCAAGTTATGAGCAGATCATTTAGGTCAATGCTTCCTGTGCATTTTCTGCAGAGGAGAAACTCAAGAAAGCGTGGAGAACACTTCGACCTGGCAGTGGGGAAGTACCCTAAGATCATATTATCCTGGCTTAATCAACATTTATTTCATCTATGCATAAAGAGGGTGACAATAATGTTTATTGAGCAGGTGTCTAATAATTAGGATGCTAAAAAGAAAGTGTGAAGTGCCTTGAAACTACCTCTAGAAAAAGAAAAGGGTGACTGGAAAGGCAGCTTCTATATGTTGACCCCTACAGTAGAATTCTGGGAGTTGAAGTCCACGCATGTTAAAGTTGCCAAGGTTGAGAAACAATGCCCTACAGTGTATAAGTGACCTACTAGGAGAGCCACTTTAAGAAATGTCACATCAGGGTTGGACCCTTCTTTTTCCCCATGTGCTTGCTGCCCAACATTAATATTGCAAAATGAGATTTTCAAACTCTCCATTCAAAATGGGATAGACCTGAAAGGAGAACTACTCTAGTCAGCTACCAGAGCAGAATGATTTTCTCTTCAGAACCCTCATTCATAGCACCCATCTTGTTCTTTCTCCACTGCTCACCTGCTCTTATGTGTTCTACCTGTGCAGAAAAGGAGGAAGGAGCTTTCACAGATGCTGTTTCAGCAAGGGAAGGAGGAAACTGGGCCCAAGGAATAGGCATGGCAGCAGGCAGGTGATAGAGTGGCTATTAAAATGCCCTGTGAAAGGGAGTTATGATGAAAGAAAGGGGTATAGTAATGATAAGTATTTTTTTTACTCTTTTTTTACAATGATATGCACCTCCAACAAGCTAGAACATGAAAGAGAAAAGTTAGATATTTTTGCACCCAACCTACACAGACCAGAGTTGATATTTCTGGCCTTTCCTGATCCTATTTAGCAACTTTCTGTTGTCTAGGAAAGTTTTTCACGTGTCTTTGCACCTCCAAATAGTTAATGCACATTTGGAATAAGTGTAGAAGCTGGTTGGTTTCTGACTGTGGACCACTTTGGTAAAAATGCTGAGATATTGCTTTTGGTTTGTCTAGCAACTGGCCAGAATTAGCAGCCCTCTCCACCATGCCATATTCCTCACTAAAATCTGTTTGTCTTATATTACAAGTTTGTATCATATTACAAAATTATTCTAAAGGCCCAATACTTGCAAGAGCCAGTGTGAACGCTTGACTGTTCAAATCTTACGTGTCACTCGGTTATTTCTTGGGAGTTTCACCGAAAATTATGAAGCCACCTTCACTTCTCTTTGCCACATCTGATGCTAGTTGCTTGACTTGGCTAACCCTTTAAAGTAGTCCCAACTCTCCTTTTAAGTTTCCTATATATATGAGTTCCTATAAATATGAGTTCTATACTGAAGAATGACTTGGCTTCCAATGCTTTAGAATGTAGACAATTGTACAGCAAGAAAAACATATAGAAAAATAAGGATCACATTCTGACAAATTATTTGTATTTCCCTCATTGCAGAAATGTTTCAGTATTCTGGGGAATTTCCCTTCCCTTAAACTCTGTAGGTCAGGCATCTTGTGACAATGTGCCATCACACAGTGCAGTGATTTACCAAACCACTTTGTTTTGCTAACAGAAATACTGACATGGGGGATGCATCTTGAAAATGATACCTTTTGCATCCAAATCAAGTTCACCTGCAGTGTATCTTTGCAATAATCAAATTTTGGGGGAGTCATTTTTCTTTCCTAGTTTTTGATAGACACTGAAGTACTTTCCATAATTAACACTAGCCCTGTCCTCACTGCATATGCTGAAAGTCATTCAGCTCCAGCTGGAAATGACAAGCTTGTGTAATACCTGCTTTGCAACTTTAGACCTCCTGACTCTTATATTTAAAAGTCCAAAAGTGTATGCTGAACTCCATTCTCAAAAGAAATACTGTATATATATTTCAAAGGTTCTGGAAAATATTTTGTTCACCTTTATTAGAAGCATTGGTTGCTCCCCCTCACCAAAAAAAGCTACTGGCATTGAATAAATCAGAATACAGTGTTAGAATGTCCTCCCATGGAACTTTTGCCCTTATCACATGTCCAAAGTTTAGCAATATCAAGTCACTGAACATTTCTCAATCAACTTTTACACCACAGTCCACACATCAATAAGACTGATGTTACTTCACAGCTGACTCTCCTACTATGTTGTGGAAGATCAGCCTTTTCCTTGCTGGTAACATCCATATCACACAGAACAGAATACATGATGGTCATCCTCTCTGCTCTTTGCTATAAATATGTGTTATTGTGATCATACTGAATTAAAAGAATTCACTTTCATCTGGGTATTTTGGATAAGCTAGCTAAGCAATCCCATTTCTAGCAAAATTCACCTCCATTTCTCAGCTTTCTAGGCAAAATGCTGTAATGTTCCTCTCCCTTGACATTCAGTCTAAGCATACATTTTGGCTTAGTGTGATGCTTGTGCCAAACAGTTCTGATTTAAAACATTGGTTTATGGTTTCATGCACTATATAAATTGAGAGCCAGTTCGGTGAAGTGGTTAAGGCATCAGGCTAGAAACCAGGAGACTATGAGTTCTAGTCCTGTATTAGGCACAAAGCCAGCTGGGTGACTTTGGGCCAGTCACTCTTTCTCAGTCCTAGGAAGAAGTTGCTGGCAAACCATTTCTGAAAATGGTGCCAAGGAAACTTCATGGGTTTATCCATGTAATTGCTAGGAGTTAAGACTGACTAGAAGGCATGCACCCACCCACCCACAAATGTTTTAAATATTTGAATGTAACCTTGAAATGCTCTCTCTTTCCCAGTCTGTGGACTGAACCCTCTTGCTCTTTGGCTCATACCCCCTCCAGAACTTTGATATTAGGGCCTCCCGTCTAGTGAGACAGCCACGTTTCTTGGTGATTACTCCCTAAAGGGCAGCATGAAAAAAATGAAGGGTGGTTACAATGCTTTCTGTATTTTTTTTTTTTAAACTGAAATTAGGAACAAGGACAAAGATGTGTTCAGAAATTGGGAAATAAGAAAAGATTGTTGAGTTGGCATTTGGGTAAATCCCCATTAAAATGCTAACTCAACAAACTTCTACTTATACTTTCTGAACCCAGGTTTATTTTTATTCCCCATTTCCTAATACCCTAAATTGGATATTTGCATTGCCTGAACTTATACACCCCTTTTTTTTTTGCATCTATACCTTAAAAACTACCCTTTTCTGAATGCAGGGAAAAACTAGAAAAATATCTGTATTATGGAATACTGTTTGCGGAATAACTACATTAGGAAAAAGTATGCATAGATATATTTATGATGAGAAAACATACAGAATGTGCACATTAGCAAAAATTCACTCAAAGCATGTGCAATTCTTTGTATAGTTGATGATCATCATGGATTGCATGGATTAAAAAGGAATGAAGCAGATACGGCCTGAGCTAGGATAAAGAGATGGGATGAAATGAAAAATAAATTTATCTCTCTGCATATTAGGAAACAAGAGAGCAATCTTATAAAGGGTTTATCTGATTAGTCTAATTATTTATTCCATTAAGCACCTATATTCAACAGAAGTTTAGAAATATTACCAGGATGAACAAGTAATATTTAGATTTCAATAGTGGGCATCACTGTAGAAGTTATAGAAAGGGGAGATGACAGATCAGTACGGACAACGGGATTTAAGGTTATTTTGACACATTTTGGTCAGAATGAGTTCAAGGTGGTTCCATCAAATTCTTCGGAGGAAAGGCCATGATGAAGGATGATAGAAGAGGAGAAGCTAGTAACAAGAAAAGTTTCTATGAGTGTCTTACCTTCTCTTGGCAGAAGGGTACTAGAAGAAGGTTTTCGTCTAGATGTCAAGGTTTTTCTTCCTAATCTCTCTTCTGATTTCAGAACAACCGTGGCTACTTGCTCATCCCTGAGCAGAAAATATTACAGAATTGCTTTATGTATGTTTAGGTGAGGTGGGGCACAAGCGACATGCCCTCAGCTGGGAGGGGCATAAATCAGCCCTGCTAGGAAATGTGTGTCTCCTTTTTCGAAATCATCCCTGCCAGGAAATGAGGAACTTTTTTCTTTTGACAGCAATCTCTGAAAGCAATGAACATTATGAGGACAAGTGTAGTAATACAGGAAAGGGTGGACACCAGGCCTGTAGATATGCTTTCATTTTTACTAGAATGGGCCATAATACCAGTCAGAATAATAATAAGAACAAACAATTACAACAGCAAATTAATAAGGATAAGAATGTGAAAGGTGGATCCAGATGGAATATGCTAGGTTGAGGAGGATTCAACCACCAACTATATCTCAAGAACAGGATGAGCTGCAAATAACGGTCAAAGTCTGCACTTAAGTTGCTAAAGATCTGGAAATACGTGCAGGCAGAAATAATCTGAAATTGTCCTGGGCAACACAAGGTCTTGGAAGAGATTTTTGAAACCCTGATTAAAAGCACAGAGTTCAACATAAATTTGGGTGCAGTTGAAGGAAGGTGGTGGACTGTAGTGGTAAGGATTAGATGGCAATTTTTAGAATGTCCTGGAGAAAAAGATGCCAATGAAATTAAGGGGATTTTGGAAGAACATTGATTTCCCATATGCACTGTAGTTGTCCCTTGAGGCAGGGAAAAGAAAGTGCACTTGGTGGGCTGGAAAAGAGGATGCTGGTTTACTTCTCCCTTATCTTTTTTCAGAAATGGAATTTTAAACCTGGCAGGGATAGGAAAACAACAACAGTAAGAAGAATGAAACTAATAACACTTCTGAGCGTACACCAAACAGAATTGCTCTTTAATATGATAAAACTGTAGGATGAAGAAGATGTTGGGATGGGCTAGAAAAAGATTTGTCAGACAGCATTGTAGAATTGCTTTTAGAAAAGAACCTTCTGCTGACGGTGCCCAGGATAGAAGTGAAATTAACCGAAGAAGCTCAGATCCTCACTGAAGATGATGGGAAAAAGAAGGCTAGCTCACATTACAGAATAGGCTATCATCTAGGATGGTGATGAAAGATGCTTAATGTTTATAGATTCAGGAGTCAACTGGCATGAGCAAGCTCGTGGGGGCCCCAGAAATCTCTTTGGTATCACTATACAATTTGGTATGCATACAAATTCATACAATATACCTTAAAGTGAGCTAACACACATTTTCCCAAACTCACGCAACCCCTTTGGGAAAAAGAAGAAGCATGGTAAAACTTCATGTAGAAATGCAGATTCATTTCCCTTACTGGAAATTAGCTCTTATTAGGGGAAGCAACACAAGATTGAAGTCCATAGTTGCTTATTGCCAATGTGACCCCAAATTTCTTGTGGCCTCCAGAGGCTTCTCCACGCTCAGTGTCCCCAGAACGAGAACTACACTTTCTTCTCATTATTACAGCAGTAATATAATCCCTAAAATAGGTTTGAGGGGGCTTAAAGAGCAAAAGGAAAGAATCCCACTTTACCCAGGAAAGAAATGCAGGAAAAGGTAGCTTCCTTCATGGATAAATCATGACTTCTTGCATCCTGCATCATCACCCAACTTTATGTGGTCCTCCCCCTCCCCAAAACATAGTGAGGATCCCCTAGTTGTTGAACTTTCCTTGCCTTTGTTCATCATGCATTAGATTAAGACAGGTTGACCAAGATGCGTTCAATCCTTGGCTCAAAAATTAGGGTCCTAAATATCTTGAGATCATAGCTGGATTTAGCCTGTTTTTTTAGGGGGTGGGAAATGGGGGATATGGAATTGTTAAGGTCAAGAATAGGAACAGCTTCTAGCAACAGTTAGTTTCTGTGGGAGATTGCAACTTTTCATGCTGTGCTCTTGTCCATAACCTTAAAACCCAACCATGGATACCCCCTTTGTTAAACAGCCCCCCAATTCCCTTAACATAACGTGCATAATAGCACATGGGACATCATTTATTGAATAAAAAGTGTTCATTTGAAGGAAGCAAGATTAAAGAGCCGAAGATCCTATTCTCAGAGGAAAACTGCAATTTTTTTGAAAAAAAGAGAAACCAACTTAGAATTAAGACGTTTGACACCTAAACTATGGCCAGGCTGAGGAATGAGATGGTAGTGACCTTAGTTTGATAGGTATCTTTTTTCCAACTTTACTTAGCAGGGAAAAGTATTTTATGAATGAAATATATATCAGATGCCACCAATTAGTGAGATCACCTTTTAAGATTTGTCAGTGTTCTTCACCTGTCAAACTAACCAAACAGAAATGGTTACCGGATTAAACATATTTTAAAGAACATATTGACTTGTGTAAGTAGTAATTTGAAACAGTAATAGCAGAGAATCTAACACAGAAACTGCTGTTCAATGCATCTTCTGTCTGTCTCTCTGTGTCCCTCTTCCTGTCTATTTCTGTCTCTGTCTCTGTCTCCATCTCCCTTTTTCTCTTTCTCACTTCTCCAAATGACATCCATTCCACCTATAATTCTTTCTAGCTTCTACTGTCAGTTATTACCTAAATACACACATACAGTATATTGCTGATGGGAAATTAACCATAAAAAAGTACATTATTTTAACAATGTGAGAAAGGATTTGAATCTCTGAGCTAAGTGCCAAAATCTTAAATATTTGTTATTTAAGAATACAAAGAAGAAAAAAAGGAAAAGGAAAACTACTAAAAACATTAGAAATAATAGTTTCTAACTTCCCCTTTGTTCAAAGTGTGCCCAAATCATATCTAATTGTGTTGCTACTAGTGTTTTTACATTAGCACATATGTTGTAGCAGTTTATTTATTTATGTAATTACAGGACTTATATGGCCCTCTATCTCACATAATGACTCTAGGCAGGTCACTACAATCCATAAAACATAGTTAAAAATAAAAATTCGCTTCCCCACAGGTACCAGACCAAACATCCTCATAGCTCAACCCACATCCTTGTCCAAAGCTGGGGGGAAGAGCCAGGTCTTTACAGCACTCCAGAAGATTAAAAAGGTAAGGAAGTTTGCTTCCTAGGTGCACTGCATACCTTGTGCTGTTTGGATGAAGGTATGAAGGGACATGTATGGAAAGATGGAGGACATGAGATCCATTGAGAACAGGCCTTGAAGGCAGAAGGGTTTATTCTGGAAGATTTTGGCTTATTCAACAAAGGAGAGTCTAAGAAACCTCAAGAAGGGATGTTTCTCAAAACAAGGTACGGATATCAAAACACAAAGTGATTCTCAAACAAGAAATGGATACACTATAAATTGAAACGGATTAGGTGATAGTACTCAAATGGAAATGTATCAAAAGGCATGACAAGAGTGCCAAGCTGGCTTGTCTAAATTTATAAACTAAAGTACCTTTGGGTTGTCACAAAGAATGAGGTCCCAAGAATGGTGGGCTTCCCACCTTGATTCTTCTAGAACTCAAAGTAGCCTGACCAACTACACCAGTGTTTCTCAACCTTGGCAGCTTGAAGATATATGGACTTCAGCTCTGGGGAATTCTGGGAGTTGAAGTCCACATGTCTTCAAATTGCCAAGGTTGAGAAACACTGGTCTAGATTTTGGGTTACGTGTCTATGTATAGCGGTGTGTGTGTGTGTGTATGTGTATGAGAGAGAGAGAGAGAATATGAACAAAGCTTTTAATTCAGAAAATGAACAGCAAAAATTGCAAATCTGTGCTTAGTCTATGAGTCCTGAATAAATAGCATTGGAGATGCTATAAAGATCTTTTTTATGACTATCCATTTCAAAAAGTTAGGGCTTGTGCTGTATTGCAGAGAGAAAATATCCTATGCATTAAAGCTGGCAGAAAACATCCTTTGAACATGACTTTCTAGACCTTGTGGTCATCACTTCCTGCCTTCTGAGTTCTTGGTATTTTGCTTGCTGTGATTTAAGTTGTCAGCCTTTTGAGATAGATCAGGTCAGGAAACAGACACCACAGGAATTGCTGTAACTCTATCTTATTGTTATAGGGTATAATAGCAGAATCTTGAAAGCCTAACAGATTTCTCCACAACCCATTCCAAATTCCAACCATCCCAAAGATAGCCACCCCAAATAATAACCTGTCCCATTCAGATAAACATCCCATATCTCAGCTCTAAACTATCCACAAATATAAAGTAGTCCCAGCATCCTAATACAAAACAGACTAAAATTCAACCTGATAAAAAGAGCTAATTTCTCCTAAAAAAATTCACACAGTTAGATACTAAGCATTTATATACTAAACAATTAGCATACAAAAAATAGCTATAAAAAAAGAATTGAAACACCAAATAAGTAAATCTAGTATACCACATTTTTCCAGTCGAAATATCAGTAAATCCAAAAATAACCACCCAGAATAACAACATGCCTCATTTTAACCCTGGTCAAATAAGCCGATTTTATATTCCTTTTTTATGTAGAACAGTCTTTTTCTGTAATCCATTCCAATAGTTGTTGATCCTTATTATGAATTTCTTCCATTCCTTTGTAAATCCAACGAAAAAGAATTATTTCCGTTACTCTCTAGGATTTTTTTGTTTCCTTCTTAATTTTTAAAACCTTCTGTTTGCATCTGATGGCAGGTTCTTATCCAAAATTTCATTCATGTTATTCTCAAATGGAATTTGTTCTTTATCTTGTTCTATAACATCTTGTTCTAAAGACAGACTGTTCCCAAACAGACACAACATAGCTGGCATAATTGATTCAAAGTCTCGACGCGGTCCTCAGCGGAGTTCCTCTAAATATCTCTAAATGCCATGATAATTTATTTCCCACAAACATGCATTTATTCTTTAAAAATAATTTCAAAGACTTAATATTCAAAGTTCAACTAACATTTTCTGAGTCCTTAATCTTTCTAAAACTTTCTGTAGCCAAAACTTTGTCTTGCTTTTTGCTGTTTATTTTAAATTCTTAAAAGTTATACAAAATAAATCTTCAT